GGATCTAGATGTAGAATCCTTTCTCATACACATTCTAGCTGTGTGACCCTGGATCCTCTCTCAATCTCAATTTCCTCATCTGTAAAATGGGGATGATAATAGCACCTACTTCATAAGGTTATTGTGAGGACAAATGAGATAGCATATATGTGAAGCACTGTTTCAAACCTTAAAGTATATCAGTGTTAGCTATTATTATCATTAAATCAGTCTCCTTGGTTAAATAGTTATTGATTTTCAGTAACAGATAAAGTGCTTAAATTTCATAAGGCACACCTCTGGACAGGTAGTTGAATTCATTCATCCGACAAATATTTGAATACCTATTATTTTATTCAGTTTAACAAGTACTGACAAAGTGGCTAAAAGGAAGCCTGGAGTGATAGATAGAGAGCCAGCCTCATCACCAGGAAGACATGGGTTCATGTCCTGGCTTTCTAGAGAAGATGGATTTGAGTTGGACTCTGCAGGGTTCGTAGGATTTGACAAGCAGAGGGGGGGAAGGGATTCTTAGCACAGATAAATGTAAGCCAGAGATCCAGAGGCAGGAAAGCATAGCGTGTGTGGAGAGGGGTGGAGAAGAGATTAGAGAACACCAGGAGAGGACTAGGATGAGAAAAGGTTGAAAGGGCAGGAAGATGTTCAGAAGTTCATCTGTCAGGCTCCACCCTGGGGCCCTGCTGTCCTGATGGCTGGGTCGGGGAGTGAGTGTGTGACAATTCACATCCACCCACTGTCTCTAGCCAGCCCCGCTCAGTGCTTCACATCCCATCCAGCTCTCCCCCCAAACCCCAGGCCTACCCACCATGGACATCTCTCCGTCTAACCAGCTGTGGTGCACATTCCACCTCCCATCCCCCCACCCCCCAATCCCACTTCTGGACCTTTTGTTCTATGAACGATAATCAAATAAAAACCACCATTGCTACTGGAAAGGGTGTGATAATCTGCTGCCCTAGAGTTCCCATTCACAATTCCTGTAACAAGCTGAACCAAAACTTCCTTCCCTTGACTACTGCCCAACTATTTGAGCTTTTTTTCCACATTAGAATGTAAATTCTTCCAGGACAAGGACTGTCTCCCTTTTGTATCTGTCTCCCCTAGTTATGATTCCGTAAATGGCCGTCCGGCTCCCACTTGAAGGCTTCCAGTGATAGGGAACTCACAGTTTCCCTCACTTTTGGAAGCTCTCTATGAAGATAGCCACATCAAAGTTTGGCTGGTAAATGCCTCCCTGAACACTTGTTCCTTAAGTGTTTTCTTTCCACAGCAAGGAAGAGGGCACAAAAATTACTATTTTATCTTTAAACTACTAAAGTAACCTGGTAATGAAGGAGACCAAATGGTTTCATTAGGATAGCACAGTTAGCTGTGCTTATATAGTTAGAAAGTCCTCTTAAATGGACTATCTTCAATATATTAAATGGGTTAAGTTGGGCCAGGCTGGTTATGGGAAGCCTACTGAACCTTCACTTCACTTTCCTGAGTAAGGGTCTCATCCCCTAAGGCTCTTGTGTCCATGACAGGCCATGGACAGAATGACATTACTATGACAAACCCCCTAAAAGTGCCTTCTGATGACTTGAACTAGGCTAGAGGCAGGTATTTGGTGGAGTTGGGTCATGGAAGACACGGGTTCAAATCTCACAATTGGAGGAAATGCCTTTATACCCTTGGGGAGAGGGGAGAGGAGAGGCAATCAGGTGTTTTCTTCTTCCTTTTTGCCCTCCAAAACTTGAGTCTCTGTTCTCTTTCCCCTTTCCATCTTGCGGCTTTTGGATTTGCCTTAGGAGCCTTCTTCTGGCTTCCTTAGACTCTTAGCCTTACCTCCCAGTTGCACAAACTGAACAGGTAGACTACAATGCTATCCATACCTCAAACAGTGGAGCCAATTAGTGGATTAACTGGGAAGAAAAAGAAGGATGAAAGGAGATCAGAGGTAGAAATACCTGCAGACACATAATTTGTTGTAGTTATTTAGTTCTTTTTCAGTCATGTCCTTTTGGGGTTTTCTTGGCAAAGTTATTGGAGTGGGTTTCCATTTACTTCTCCAGCTCATTTTACAGATGAGCAAACTGAGGCAAATAGGGTTAAGTGACCTGCCCAGGGTGACACAGCTAGTAAGTGTCTGAGGCCAGATTTGAACTCAGGAAGATAAGCCTTCCTGTTTCCAGGCCAGGTACTCTTTCCACTGTGCCACCTAGCTGCTCCCAGACACATAAGTAGGGAATAATAGAGAACTGCGTTTGGGAATAACTGGCCCTTTACTATTATGTTAACTTTTCAGCATATGCATGGAAAGCAAAAAGTAGTATGGAGGTACTTTTGGCTATGTGTCTATGTAGATTAAGGGGAGCATTTATTGGGCATTCCGTAACAATCTCCTGCCCCCATGCCTTTCCATAGGCTGTCCCCTATGCCAGGATTGCTCTCCCTCCTTTTCTCTCTTTCTTGAAACCTCTAGTCCCCTTTAAGGCCCAGCTCAAATGTCACCTCCTTCAAGAGGCCTTTACTGATTTCTCCTACTTGTTTGTGTCCTCAGTCATAGTGTTCTGTGACTTTAAACTGCGTGTATGTGTGTACATGTATGTATACATACATATGCATAACACACATGTATATACACATGTGTATACTGATATTTCCTTAACTGAGATGATGTTATTCAAATGTAACATCCCTGAGATCAGGGACTCTCTTACTTTCATATTTGTATCCCCCAACACAATAGCACCGTTATCTGCCACCTAGTAAACACTTAATAAATGTTGATCAATTGATCTATTGAATTCTTGTCCATGCCCAGAGGCTTTGGACTCTCCTTAAATATATATCTATGTCTGTTTACCTATATCTATCCATCTATCTATCTATCTACCTATCTATCTTTATATATGGCTTTGCTAAATAAATGAATAATGTAAATGTAATTGAAAGGACTATGTAACCTGCTCAAAACCTGTTTTGTAATACAGTATGTGAAAGATACTCATATCCTGAAGAGAGGGGGTGGAGTTGCCTTCCACCACACATATTAGTTGATAGAACCATAGAAAGTAAGGGAGAGATTACAGGTAATGAGTATGAATATGCTAATGAGGTGCTGTGTCATCCCTTTGTGAAATGTGAAGGAGTTCCTGGCTTCAGTTTCAGTGGCAGCCGGTCATTGATTGGGAAAAGATTGGTCCCACCCCTGGAAGTCTTTATAAAGCTCATCTTGCCGTGTCCTGGAAACATTTGAACTGTCTTAGACTTCAAGGGATTCAGAGCAGGGAATAGCTTTGTAGAATGTGACCCCTGTGCCTCTAGTAGGGCATCTAGATTGTAGGACAGGGATTTTTTTTTTAATCTTTTCCTTCATAGCAAAGCACTATTTGACCAATAGAAGACACCCGTAGGGAACGATTCAGAGAGTCTAGCCATTCGAGGTAGAGAGCAGACATATTCTCTATAAAGATACAGAAAGGCAGCATTTAAGGTGAGAAGCAGTTTCAAGGATCTAGGATTCTGGCAACGGAGTGAGGAAACTGACTATGGATTCAATATCTTGGCAACTGAGAGTTGAGCTGCAGGGAAGAGCAGAAGTGGGGAGGGAGGCCAGTGGGGTGACGCCCCCCTCACAGTAACACTGTGCTCAGAGGCGGGCCACATGAGGAATCCAGGAGAAGAGAAAGAAATTAGGACCCTAAAGCACCAGAGGTGTGAGTTGCCTTGTCCACATGTGTGCCTTATTATCATTATACTCTAAATTTGTGCCCACTCTTCCCACAGGTGCTGTGTGTATCTATGGGAAAGTATGCCCCAGGTTTATGGGGATAATGTTTTGTAGCTACTGTTCTTACTATGCCACCTTAGTAAATGCCTTTGCTTTGAGCTAATTGTATCTACTGGATGACTATTAAAGGTAAGCTAACCAGTGGGGGCTTAGGAACCATAGCTGTGGGAATATAGACCCACAGAATACCTTAGAATCTGGAGGTGAAAGTAGTCACTCTTCTGGGGACCCAATCTTGAAACCTGTGATTATTCAGTTGGAAATATATCCCAGAAAGGGTGGCACATATGTATAATTGATGTGCTAATTAAGAATTATTCATTAAAGAAACCCAATCCGGCAATGGCTTGGTTAGCCTAATTCAAGTTATAACTGTATGAAAACTAATAGGTATGCATTTTATTTCTTTCCTAATTACATGTAAAAACAATTTTAACATTCATTTTTAAAATTTCAATTTCCAAATTCTCTCCCTCCCTCCTTCTCTGGGATGGTAAGCAATTTGATATAGGTTATACATGGTAAGCAAAGTGTTAAAACTTCATTTCTTTAGGAAAGACTATACTTCATCCTTTTCACCACTTTAGACTGGTCTCCTTCCCCTGGTGAAGGTTTGATTGGCAATGTGGCCCGGTGGACAGAGCACTGGTTCCAGCCTCAGAGAACCAAAGTTTTAATCCCACCTCTTGTCCGTGTAACCCTGAGCAAATGACTTAACAATAGCAGGCTTCAATTTCTTCATCTATCAAATGAAGGGGTTGGAATAGATGGCTTCTTTCCAACTGTAGATCTGTGAGACAAATGGAATTAAGCATCCTCCCTTGCCCCCACCTTAATTTTAGGACAGAGAGACTAGATTCAAGTATAACTTTCTGATACAAACTGGCTTTGATCCTGGGCACATCATCTGACTTCTTGGTGTTCCATGGACCTCTCTAAGACTATAAATTACAGACCAGTGGCAGATCTTCATTAGTGGTTGGGTGAAGTGACAGGTTCCATAGCTCTACCTACCTTCCTAGGTAAATAAATAAATAGTGTTAACTGAACTCCCCCTATCATTCTCTACACTGACTGAGCTCTTGAACCCTTGCTAAAAAGCACCACACAAATTATCCTGAGATTTTAGGTGCCATGACTAAATTCATGGAGGGGAAGAGATAATGTAATACGTGTTACTTGGGTGCATTCACCTCTGCTGATATTTTGCTGCCTTTTCTGATAGGCTGTAAAGCGGTTCTTGAAACAAGAATGCAAATGCCATGGGGTGAGTGGATCCTGCACTCTGAGGACCTGCTGGCTGGCCATGGCTGACTTTAGAAAGACGGGAGATTATCTTTGGAAGAAGTACAACGGGGCCATCCAGGTAGTCATGAATCAAGATGGCACTGGTTTCACTGTGGCTAACAAGAGATTTAAGAAACCAACTAAAAATGACCTGGTCTATTTTGAGAACTCTCCAGACTACTGTATCAGGGACCGAGATGCAGGTAAGCCCTATCACATCATGCAGGTGTCACCATTCAGATTCCCAGAGGACATCAGTCAAGTAAAGTCCCATATCTACAACTGAGTCTTTTAATAATTTTGCTTCATTGCTTCTGTCAGGCCTAAAGCTCACATAATTTATAAATCATATTTAAAAGTATAGAAAGACTTCCCAAATCAACTGAGCAGAGAAACATGGACAATGATTCATAAAATCTATATTGCCACAACAAACAAGAGTTTTGGGGGAAATGATTGTATAGAGTTTAAATTCAAAGAGCCCTTTACATCAAGGTAGTCTAACTAGACATATTTTTAATATGTGTATATGTAGGTGTAATATATACATGTCAACTTATAAAGGGCATGAGCAGAACAATTACATTCTCTTTTTATTGGAGGATTTTGGGCAAACATTCGTGCCCACTCAATAAGTAAATATTTCTTGTGTGCTTTCAAATTAATTCAGAGTACCCAAGTGAAAGATACTAAATGGAGACTTACTAATGACATTCTGAATAATGAGTAAGCCAAAGAACAAATCATAGAAACAATTAATTAATATGTGAATGAGATTGATAACAACGAGTTAACATACTAAATTTCTGGGATGTAGCTGTATCAGTCCTCAGAGGAAAAAGCATAGAATGGAAACATAATTGACAAAATTTTTAAGGGGAAGAGTAATGAACTGAGTATGTAATTAAAAAAAAACACTAGAAATCAATGTTTTGGAGTACTTAATATAATTTAGGGAATTACACTGAATTTGCTCTCTGATGGCAAATTACTTGATATTTCTATCATGTCACACTGGGATTTTCAGCTGATTCCTTTTCCATTTCTTCACACAATAGCAGATCCATCACTGTTGACAGAGATTTGGGTAGCTATGGATCCATTTTGGTATTACCTATATTATCTTGATGCAGACTAAAGATTTAAATTGTGTGACTGCAGTAAACATGTGAGGAATTACAGGGAGTGATTTGTAAAAGCAAGACAGTAAGATATAGGAATAAGTGGCTTAATACTCAGTTAGACAAAGGCTTTATCTATACATATAGATGTCCATTTTAAATGAGTTCACTAGTCTTTTTGATGAGTTAATTCAGAAAAAAATAAAATAAAATGGGTTGGTTGGTTGAAATCAATTGATTTTTTCCCCCTTTTAATTGACTTTTTTTTTGGCCCTGAGTCTATACCTAACTCATTGTTTAATTCCCTTCGTCTTTTTTTTTTTTATTTTTTAAAGTCACTTCAGTGAACCAAAAAAAAAAAACAACAAAAAACAAAACAATGGTTGTATAGATTCTTAACTCAAGTGCTGCAGCTTTCAGGATTACTTTTCTGTCCCCACCAGGTGCCAGTCATCTTCCAATTTCAGCTTATCTTGTATGTTCTAATTTCATTGTCTCTTTGTATTGATAGTAGCTAGCAAAGCCTGGCACTAAGTATGTGCTTAATAATTATTGTTGATTGATTGATCATATAGATCAAGTTAACACTTTTTTAAATTGGCTTAATTTTTCACTTTTCTATGAGAAGTGTGGGTACAGCCTCAACTGACAAATTCTATGTTTTTAGGCATTGCTTAAGCAGGCAGATACAGACACAAATACACTTATGTGTAGACTGACTTGGGGCAGCTAGGTGGCAGAGACGGGTAGAGCCCTAGGCTTAGAATCAGGAAGGCTCATCCTCATGAGTTCAAACCTGGCCTCAGATACTTCCTAGCTGTGTGACCCTGGGCAAGTTACTTAATCCTGTTTGCCTTAGTTTCCTCATCTGTAAAATGAGCTGGGGAAGGAAATGGCAAACCACTCCAGTATCTTTGCCAAGAAAACCCTAAATAGGGGTCATGAAGACCCGGACATGACTGAAAAATGGCTCAACAGGAGACTTACTTTGTTGTTTCTTTATCTCTGAGCATTTCCTAGTAGTCAACCAGTATTGTGTCAAGTAATGCCTTTCTGTCTTAAAGCTGCCCACTTAGAAAATAACAATAGATAACATTTAAGATTTGCAAAGTGCCTTAAATAATGTTATTTGGTGTAATACAGAGCTGTCAAACTCACTTCCACCAAGTGGTCCTCAAAAATCCTAAGTACAGCCTGAACCAAATTAAGAAGTAATTGGAGAATGTAGGAAGGAAATAAAAAAATACAACACAACATATATAATGTCAGTTTGTGGCTTTCTAAGTCAACATACAACCAGCAGAGATCCATTTCTATTTGAATTTGACACCACTGTGAAGTGGATAGGAAAGAAAACCTGAAAGTTAGGAAAACCTGGGGCCAAGTCCCACTGGTTCTGACACATATTGGCTGTTTGACTCTCAACAAGTCACTTAACCTCTCTGTGTCCTAGGCAGGTGATGCCAAACTCAGATAGAAACCAGGAGACCACTAAGCTGTACATGTAGACCTTTGCGACTGTGTGTTGACTTAGTTTTAAAATGTAATATTATCTATGTTTTATTGTATTCGTATTTATTTTGTTAAACATTCCCAATTACATTTTAATCTGGTTTATGCAGCACTTGGGAGCGTTGAGTTGCATATTCGACACCCGTGTTTCATAATTATTTTCCCAATTAGTGATCTTAGGGAGGGATTTTGAAGCATTTGCCACAGATGGCTAGATAAGCTATTGCTTCATCTGGGCCATCGTGTTCTGCTGGTCCTTGTGAATGTCATCACAGGGGCTGTGTAACCTATGGCCTATGCCAATCTGTGTTGGGGAACACATTGCCTCTGCCACTATCCAAGGAGGAAATAACCCCATTCTTGAAGGATACATCTACCTCACCGCTGTGAAGGGCTGCTGTTCCTTATTGAATCATGCCTGAGAAATGGTTTCCCTTCTAGTAGGTCTGCTGCTAATCTCTTTTTGGTAATTACTCACTTTTGAGGCCTCTCCTACAGATCAGCTGATGCCTCTCTGTCCCAGTTGCTAATCTAATATTGACAAACCTGGGCTGGGGCACTTCACCCGTTCCCTCTTGCTAAGGGGCCCCTCTACTTTAGATCCAGGTCTGAAGTCCATCTTGGGTTCGACCCTAGAAGATGCCTCGTCTCTAATAAGAGGGGTTAGGTTCCCTTTTCTCACACTCTTGGCTCATTAAACCCCATCCTGGTGCCCCAGTTTTGTTCTAGACTCACATCCAGGGTTTCCCTCTGAAAGTATGGGAGTAGGGGAGTAGAAGGGTACACAAGACACAACGTGAATCAAGTGTGGGCCAACAGTTTATCTACTACCCTTAAAAGAAATGTTAAGGGGCAGCTATGTGGCACAGTGAATAGAGAACCAGCCCTTGAGTCAGGAGGACTTGAGTTCATTCTGGCCTCATACACTTGACAGTTACTAGCTAGGTAATCCATGCAAGTCACTTAACCCTGATTGCCTTGCCAAAAGAAAAAGGTTAAGTACAAAAGATTCTCTCAAGTGTACATTGACAGTGAGACTTTTAACTAAATAAACCGCAGTGCTATCTACTGCTATACCAGTCCAGAAGGTTGATACTTCAAATCATCTATACATGAAGCAGTATGCAGCACAGATAGCTCGGCATTTTACACTTCACCTTTGCTCTGCACTGTCTTCCTCAAAGTTCATGTCTTCTAGCGAGCCTGGCCAGGGCTCCTCCTTTTTTTTAGTGGCTGTTGTCACTGATACAACCGCTGTCCTTGCTGCTGGTCACTTCTCCTTATTGCACCCAGGACCTTGAAACTTCTCACACTCACAAGCTTAATTCCAAGCCTGATCACATTCACTTCAAGAACAAAATGTTCAGTCGTCTAGAAAAGTGAATAGAAATTGGAAAAGGCACCCAGGGGACTAGCCACAAGTGGGACTAGATGAATTAGTATTCCACATGGAGCAGCAGCAGGAATGGGGGAGAGCACGAGCCATCCCCTCACTCCCATTAAGGGAAGAGTAGAAAAAAACAGGAGAGCAGGAAAAAATGAGCAAGAAGCTATCTCTCCTTTTCCAAAGGTCCACTGAGTCATTGGCTCCTCTGGCTCATCAGTGAATGAGGGCATCACTTTATTAGTTGAAAACACCCATGTTCTTCTACCCCAAGCCACCACATGTCCAGAAGCAGCCAGGAAGTCATCATCTCAGATGTGCCCAAATGCTGAGTCACGAATGCCCCTTGGAAGTTTCCAGGGGAGCTCTGGATCACTCTGACTGGGATGGCCCCATAGGCCAAGTCATCTTTCATCACTCTAAACTGGCATCATGCCACCAACAGATGAATCTTCTATAGTGTTTCTTTGGTCTTTCTACTCTCTGTATAAGAGCCTTCTAGGTTGTTGGTAGGAAGCTGAAGGATCACATGATCAGCAACTGCTGGAGAGATTAGCAGAGGGAAACTGGGGCCAGGCTGAGAAACATTGGCTCTGAGATATTAATTTGGGTCAGGTTAAGGCTGATACTCTCAAGTAAGCAAATCTGCTGTCTGTTCTTAGGAATCTGTAGAGAAAACCTGAGCTCAGACAGATAGGAGAATCTGAGCTGAACCAGACAAACTTTCATACAAAGGAAAGACAACAGAGCAGAGAATGAGAGATGAACAGAAAAGCTGAATGTTCACTTTCCTAAGCAGGCTGAGACAAGATCGTAGGCAAGGTGAATGGGAGAGTCTTTCACTATGGACACAAGTCATGCAGCCACAAAATGAAGTTACTCAAAGGGCTTTTTTTAAAAAAGGAACTAGGCTATCTTAGAGGTGGCATCATCCAAATGCCTCAAAGAGGTCCACAATCCTGATACTATCTCTCAGCAGGATGGCCTCCCTGAGATCCAAGGTTTGTGCATACATGACTTGTGCTTCTCTGACTTGGTACTTCGATCATGTTCTTCCCTTTATTTGGAATACCATAATCTTCTACTCTCCCAACCCTTTTCCAATAATAATAATTAATAACAATTATGGTAATAATAGCTAACATTCATATAGCATATACTATGTTCCAGATACTGTTCTAAGCTC